ATGTTCCTCAACAAAAGCAAAACAGATCTAAAGAAATATGCTAAGAACCTTCTGAGAGGGACTGGAGTGGTAGCCTAGTGGCTAAAGTCCTAGCTTCACACGTGCCGGGATCCCATATGGGCACCAGTTCTAATCTTAGGAGCCCTGCTTCCCATCTAGCTCCCTGCCTGTGGCCTGAGAAAGCAGTCGAGGCTGGCCCAAAGCCTTGGGACCCTGCACCTGCATGGGAGACCTGGAAATGGTTCTGGGTTCCTGATTAGGTCAGCCTTTTGCAGCCACTTGGGGAGTGAATCAACAGACGGAAGATCTTCCTCTCTGTCTCTCATTTCCTCTGTATATCTGACTTTCCAATTAAACAAACAAACAAAACTCAAAAAACAAAAAACCACTGAGAGCCAGGTAAGCCCATGACCCACAGCACTGCAGAGAGTAACACCAGTTCCTAAAGCTGCTCTTCAAACTGTCCTTCGGGGCTGGCTCTAGGGTGTACCAGTCACAATGCTGAATGCCATCAGGCTGCTAGTTTCAGCCCAGCAGCTCCACTTCCCACCCAGCTCCCTGCTAGTGCTCGGGGACAGCAGCAGAGGGCCGCCAAGTCCTTGGGCCCTGGCTCCCAGCTCTGGCCTGGCCTCAGATGTTGCAGCCACCTAAGGATTGAACCAGCAGACAAATCTTTCTCCTTTTCTGTAACACTTCAAAATAAATCTTTTTTAAATTTTTAATTATTTCTTTGTTTAAAGATTTATTTTTTATTTTTATTGGAAAGGTGGATATACAGAGAGGAGAGACAGAGAGGAAGATCTTCCGTCCAATGATTCACTCCCCAAGTGAGCGCAACGGCCGATGCTATGCCGGTCCGAAGCCAGGAGCCTCTTCCGGGTCTCCCACGCGGGTGCAGGGTCCCAAAGCCTTGGGCCGTCCTCGACTGCTTTCCTGGGCCACAAGCAGGGAGCTGGATGGGAAGTGGGGCCGCCGGGATTAGAACCGGCACCCATATGGGATCCCGGGTGTGCAAGGCGAGGACCTTAACCACTGCGCCGGGCCCTAATTATTTCCTTTTTAAAAAAAGATTTATTTTTATCAGAAAAGCAGATTTACAGAGAGAAGGAGAGACAAAGATCTATCTGATGATTCACTCCCCAAGTGGCTGCAGTGGCCGGAGCCGAACCAATCTGAAGCCAGAGGCCAGGAGCTTCTTCCAGGTCTCCCACGTGGGTGTAGGGTCCTAAGGCTTTGGGCCGTCCTTGACTGCTTTCCCAGGCCACAAGCAGGGAGCTGGATGGGAAGAAGGGCCACCAGGATTGTGCCCATATGGGATCCCGGCACGTGTGAGGCGAGGACTTTAGCTTCCAGGTTACTGTGCTGGGCCCATAAAATAAATCTTAACTCAGCCCTTTTGAAGGCTTTATATCAAGATCGCTCACTTACCAACTTGCTGTGAGATTCAGCCATCAACTGGTCAGCCACATTATCACTGAGTCAGGTACCACAGGCACTATGAAACTACGCAAACGTGTGATTTGCCTCGACATAGGCTCCCTTTAAATGTCCAATCTAACAGGGGGTCCCAGTGATGTTAAAGACATAAAAGGCTGAATCTCTAAGAGCAACCCACCTGGAAGAGCCCCTACCGAGGGCTCCCTACGCTGCTGCACAACCCACCTGGAAGAGCCCCTACCGAGGGCTCCCTACGCTGCTGGGGTCCGTGTGATGGGTGTGGAAGACAGGAAGGTGTGAAGAGTATCATTCTATTGCAGGCAAGGTCGCAAGGAACTTCCCGCTGTGTGGCAAGGCCTGGCGGATGTCTCTACAACACCTGAATGCAGCTCTGCCTCCCTTTGCATGGACACCGGACAACCCCGCTGAGTATTCTGTAATCTATGTAGGCATTGTCTGCCTCTGCGGAGTTACTGTTAAATATCAATAGTTTTTAGCCAAAGAGCTATTATTGCTGTTAGGGCTGCATCCTGTGGCAATATGTTAATCAAGAGTGTTAAACTCCCATTTTGATCTTATGCTAATCAAGGGTGCTCTGTCTTCAGGTGTAGTGGAATCTATTCTTTCCCTCTTTCTTTGATCTTTTAGGTCCCTTCCTTCCTTGACTGTCTCTAGACCTAGCTGTAAAGTAATTGTGGTAGGAATGTGCTACTGACTGATATGCATCATCTATTGAAAACCTTTTCCTAGCCAGCTGCCAGGTGGTTAACATCCTAGCCTTACATGAAACAAATGGCAACACCCACTTGACCATGACGTAAAAAGTCTGAGCCAGAGTTTGACTGATTTTGTATAAATAAAGCGGACAGCTTTTGTGCGTGGTCCATTATGATGATGAAGAGTTCCTAGCGGTCCGTCTCTCTTTCTTTGCGCCTCATCCACGCACCTTTCGCGAGTTCCGAACTCAGCTGGAGCTGGACTCCAGCACTATGCTGCTGCACAACCCACCTGGAACAGCCCCTACCGAGGGCTCCCTACGCTGCTGCACAACTGCCAAGGAGCATTGGAGTGGAGCTCCTGCTTGTCTGTCAAAACACCTGTGTGCCTACAGAGGCCCTAAAACTGCTATTCTGCTACAATGTTTCTTCTTCTTCTACTTTTAAAGATTTATTTCTTATTGGAAATGCATATTTTCAGAGAGGAGAAAGATCTTGTGCCTGCTGGTTCACTCCCCAGGTGGCCACAATAGCAGGAGCTGAGCTGGTCAGAAGCCAGGAGCCAGAAGCAGGGTCCCAAAGCTTTGGGTTGTCCTCTACAGCTTTCCCAGGCCACAAGCAGGGAGCTGGAAGGGAAGTGGGGTTGCCGGGACAAGAACTGGCACCCATATGGGATCCTGGCACGTGAAAGACAAGGACTTTAGCTACTAGGCTACCATGCTGGGATTTCTTTAAAACAATTTTGAAAACACAACAGAGGAGAAGGAGAAGGGGAGAGGTGAAAGGGAGGGATGGAGGCCGAGGGAGACCATGTTATGTGCCGTCTGCTTCTCCACTTCCCAGGTGGCCTCGAGGGTCAGGAGCTGCACTGGAGGTGGAGCAGGCTGACCATGAACCTGTGCCCATACAGGACTGCAGGCGCTATAATAAGCAGCTTTACCTGGTATAACACATCATAGGCCCCCAGAGGTTTCATCCTCAACTCCAACAGTCTTAGGCCCTAGTAACAGGCCTCACCTTTATTATTGCTACAGTTAGGGTGTTGATTCTTGCCTTTGTAATGCTCTGATTCAAGCTCCTATTGCTTGCTGATTATTTCCTTACAAATTGTTATATAAAATCTCTTGCCACAGTTGCTATACACAGTGTCAGCACTATTCTGGGAGTTCCGTTAACCTCCTTCCGAGGAGAACGCAACACCGACAGCGTGACTGCTGTGGCACACATCGTAACTTCCCAGCAAAGCTGAACGTCCTGCTGGATCTGCCACCAGTGCCACCGGCTCACACCAGGCCCCGCCAGCAGTGACCTCTGTCAGGGCCCACCTAGGAACCCACTGCACTGTGGCAACATCAACCAGGCCAGTTCCACATTTGTCTTCCCTAACACCCTGTTTCTGTTTCAGTGTAGTGCTTTTCTTGCCCTGTTTACTCCCTCAAACAAGGAAATCACAATGAGACGCCAGCTTGGGACCATGAAGGTTTTTCTAAACTATCACTCTTAAACCAAGTGCTTCTTCTCACCGCAACCCAAACCACACTCACGGTGCCCTGTGGGAGGGAGGGGTCAGCTACGGGACAGCTGGCAGGCTGACTCTCCCTCGGCTTTCCCGTCAGCGCCCGGCGTGCCAAACCCTCCCTACACCTGCCAGACGCTGAGGGAGGCTGCTCTCCCACAGACCATGAGATGTGGACGTACAGCCACACCCGACACTGCCCTAGCTGGATACTGCCTAACCCACGCACCCAACCGGGCACATCAGTGGCTCACACTGTGCTCAGACCTCCCACAACATGCAGACAGCTGCTACACAGGGTGGAGGTGTCCTGGGAAGTGCAGCTCTAAAGGCAACACGTGCTGCTGGGCTGTGAACCGGGTGGGCACGCGGACAGCCTCTACAGCCACTCCTCCTTCCATCTCGCTGTGGCCCTGAAGGGCCGAGCCCACACCGCAGCCCGCAGCCCCTTCCTGGCTCCTCGGCAGGAGCAGTCCTTCTTGCGGGCTTGCCCCTTAGCTGAGAAAGGTGGAGCAGGCGTTGTAAGAACAAAGCTGTACCTGTGGCAGCAACTAGCGTGCACTGGGATTAGGCTGTAAGAGCATTTAGCACCAAACCAAACTGCTACATGCCTTTGGCCAAGGGATCCCAACAGCCAACTGTGCCTGGTGAGCAGTAAAGGGCACTCTCCCCAGTCAGGTTACACTCTGACCTGGACTTCCATCACTCTTAGGCCTCCTTGCAGCTCTGTGCTACTGGCTTCAACTCTATATTTGTTCAACCTCCCGTTAGGCTTGTCTTTAGAATGCAGCAATTCCACATCAAGACGATGGTCCTGAAAGAACCCTGGCTGCCGGTGCTGATGCTGGACCCAGCTCTACTGCTGGGACCCTGTAGGCTGGCAGCCAGGACAGCCCTGCCCTGGGTGGTTCAGGACAATGAGCCTGAACACAGTTCTAAGGGAGTGACAGCTGACAAGCCCTTAAGGCTCAGAGTGCTCTGAGGTGGGATGAGCAGGCAGGCAAAGGATGCAGGTGAGCACCTGGTGGCTCGTGCGGCTCAGGCCTATGCAGCATGTGCGGTATTCTTGCTCTGCAGATGGAACCTGTGTGCGCACCAGGCTCATGGCACTCCAGGAGACCAAGGCTGTCTGCCCTACATGGCTGACACACTGCTGCCAGGACAGGACCTAGGGCATCAGGAAGGCACAGGGTGCACCAGGCTCATGGCACTCAGGCCCTCAAGCTGCGGAGCGCCTACCTTGGAGCCGTCCCCTGTGTGCTGTCCTATCCTCTCCTGAACCTCTCCTGAGGGATGCCTAGGGCTAACAGGATGCATCCTAGCACACTCACATGTTCCTTGAATAATTTCTCCTGCACTTTGTTCTTGTTGAGGAAATAGTGCCGCGCCCACTCGCCTGACGTCAGACACTTGAAGGCTTTTTCCAAATGCTCATCCTTCTTAAAACGTTCAATCACTTCTTTTAGTTCTTCTTGTCTTCCTTTAATAGGCCTGAATCTGAAAGAAATCAAACAGCCAGTTCCGTTACCGACAGTGGTTGTGGGCCCTGAGATCCACCTGAAGAGGCCGCCGCAGCCACGGGCACAGAGCAAAGCGCTCACAAGCTGAGGACAAGGCCTGATCCGTGATCCCCTCCAGGCAAGCGACGCTGACCCCGGAGAGGCTCTTCTCTCCCTTTAAACTTGAACATTTTTATTTCATTGTGAGTTTTAACTCTGAAAGGAACAGATAATTCCAACAAGAACTCACACTCAGGCTTACGCTAGTTGTTTACTTTGCAAGGTACAAAATCAAAGATTCAGAAGAATACACAAGACAGCACGACTAACTGAAAATCAGAATGACATGGCATTTTAAAAACATGCAGAGCCAAGCTGGAAGACTGCAATGCAGTGAGCTTCAGTACAAAGAACAAAACTAAATCCCACTGTAGTATCTTCCGGTATGCAGCTGGAAAAGTCCCAGCAAAGGAACAGGTCCTGAACACATTCTCGTGCTCAACACCAAATACTCTTGTCAAACCGCTCTTTATACTCACACTCTGTGACTAAAAAAAAATGGGAAAAGTAGAATTCTGGCAGGCAACGCCCATATTGGTGATAAAGGATAAACTGTTGAGGTAGAACTGTACTTAAAAATTGCTTTCTGGGGCCTGGCGCGGTGACCTAGAGGCTAAAGTCGTTGCTTTGAACGCGCCAAGATCCCATATGGGTGACAGTTCTAATCCCGGCAGCTCCACTTCCCATCCAGCTCCCTGCTTGTTGCCTGGAAAACAGTCGAGGATGGGACCCTGCACCCACATGGGAGACCTGGAGGAAGCTCCTGGCTCCTGGCTTCAGATAGGCTCGGCTGCAGCTGTTGCGGCCACTTAAGGAGCGAATCATCGGATGGAAGATCTTCTTGTCTCTCTGACTTTCCAATAAAAAAAAAAATCTTACAAAAAAAAGTTTATGTAGGGCTCAGCTCTGGCTGTTGTGGCCACTTGGGGAGTGAACTAGTGACTGGGAGATCTTTCTGTCTCTCCTTCTCTCTGTGGATCTGCCTTTCCAATAAAAACAAACAGATCTTAAAAAAAAAAAAAGTTTATTTATTTATTTGAAATTCAGAGTTACAGCTAGGGAGGAAAAGGAAACATGTTCCATCCGCTGGCTGACTGCAAGCATGGCCGGAGCCGGGCCACACTGAAGCCAGGAGCCTCTTCTGGGGCTCCCAAGCAGCTGGCAAGACCCCGAGAGCCGCGCCAGCTTCCACTACGTTTCGCAGATCACAAGCAAGAAGCTAGATTGCACGTTTAGCAGCCAGGATGTGAACTAGTGCCGCGCAGGATGCCGGCACCGCAGCCGACAGCGTCACGCATGACACGCAGCTCCAGTTCTAACCTTTCCTTTCTCTGTCTGCACTGGAGGCAGATTTACAAAGAGAAGGAGAGGCAGAGATTGATACCTTCCTATCCAGTCCACTTCCCAAGTGGGGACACTGGCTGGAACTGAGTTAATCCAAAGGAAAGAGCTAGAAGCTTCCTCCTGGACTCTCATGTGTTTGCAGGCTATCAAGGACCTGGACGGGAAGTGGAGCAGCCGAGATGTGAAAGGTCAGACCTGGAGGGTGGAGGATTAACCTACCAAGCCGTGGCATCGGCCTCCAGGACCGAAACTTTCACATCAGTATTTCCCTTTTTTCTCTCTGTCTTAAAACAGTTTTATACTGTAAATAAACCATTTTCCTCTTCCCAAGGTTCTGACCAATGCCTGATGTAGTAATTGTTAAATGTTATTTATAATCAGTTATTAAAAATTTAGCGGAAAAAACATATGAATTCACTTCCTCACACACCTGGTCCTCCCTCTTCCCAGAGTGAATTCCCAGGCTTCCTTGCTATTCTGTCTGTCTGCAAACCATGAAGAAAGCTGGCCGAGCCCGAGGAGCTCCGTTACTGCTCCCTGCGTGAATGTTCAGTCCATAGCTGCTCGAGGCTGGGGCAGGGGAGGCGAGCAGAACAGGAGAGGAGAGAAATGCTGCAAGACTCGAGGCAGTACAGGGAGCACCTCCCCTCTGGATAAACGGTGGCTGCAGACTGATGACCAGCAAACGCCACCCAGGACAGCCCTGGTGGAGCCTGCCACCTGTGCCCGCCAGCCCTGGGCAATTACCCCTGATCTGGATGAGGGCTTGTTTTCTTCCAGTTACCCTGCTATGGAGCACAAGTGGTTTTTAAAAATACAACTGGGGGCTCGATGCTGTGGCCTAGCAGTTAAAGTTCTCATCTTGAACACGCCAGGATCTCATATGGGCACTGGTTCTAATCCCAGCAACCCTGCTTCCCATCCAGCTCCCTGCTTGTGGCCTGGGAAAGCAGTAGGGGGCAGCCCAAAGCCTTGGGACGCTGTACTCACGTGGGAAACCTGGAAGAAGCTCTTGGCTCCTGGCTTCAGATTGGTGCAGCTCTGGTTATTGAGGCCACTTGGGAGTAAATCAAAGGATGGAAGATCTTCCTTTCTGTCTCTCCTCCTCTCTATGTATTTTACTTTGCAATAAAAATTAATAAATCTTAAAAAAAAAATACAACTGTGTCCAGCATGACAGCCTAGTGTCTAAATTCTCACCTTGCATGCACTGGGATGCCATATGGGTGCCAATTCATGTCCTGGCTGCTCCGCTTCCCACCCAGCTCCCTGCCTGTGGCCTGGGAAAGCAGTCGAGGACAGCCCAGAGCCTTGGGACCCTGCACCCACGTGGGAGACCTGGAAGAAGCTCCTGGCTTCTGATCGGCTCAGTTTCAGCTGTTGCGGCTACTTGGCCAATAAAGCAGCAGATGGAAGATCTTTCTGTCTCTCTCCTTCTCTCTGAAGATCTGACTTTCCATTTAAAATAAATAAATAAATAATCTTTTAAACAAACTAACTAAAAAGAAAACCCACAATCAAGCCCAACTATTTTTTTAAGATTTGCAGAGCAATGCAGACTTTGTGTTTCCACTGGCATTCTGAATCACACAACACTGAGGAACATGGCCCAGGCCGGCCAGGGCAGCGGCACCTGCTTCCCACGGGTAAGGCGTTCCACCTACCTCACGGGGTTGTTGTGAGGAAAAGCGTCAGATTTTGAAAAATGCCTTGAGCTCCTCGAAGGAAAGGCGCTATATAAATGCAAAAACAAATGACAATAAGCAACTTTGCATAATTTCAAAACAGATGGAACAATATTGAATGTAGTAGCATCATCCTTCACTGTTCGTACTGAGAACTGTGAAGCTGTGGCAGGACCAGCAGGGATCACAATGCCAGGCTGCCAAATTCCTTCTTTTCCATAACTCACATCTCACATCCGATTGAGTCAAAAGGCCTGAAGGACGTCTCTCCGTATCCTAGTCAGGCACCCGTTTTTAAAGTAATTCAGACATTTCTATGCAACAGTGGACATAAACAGTCAAGTACATACGTAGTAATGTTAAAACTAGATGCGTTGTGGCGGAAGGGTGACCAAAAACTGCGCACGCTTAGTTTAGACAAACCAAGCAGATTCACAGTCAAAGTGCCTGGAGATGACTTGTTTATTTTCATTTGAAAGGCAGAGTTACAGACTGGGGGCACCTTTCACTGCCTCCCCAGGCACACGCGCAGCAAGCTAGATCCCAAGAGGGAGAGCCAGGACTCAAACAGGATTCCACAGGGCTTGCCAGAGCTGCTCACCTCCATGCCACCCCCACCCTGATTTCTTTAAAATGCTCAACTCTCTGCTTGCCAGCGTCTCCCCTCCTCGGCTCACTGACATCGGAACAAGGGAGCGCCCAGCCCTTCTTCACAACCCTCTGCGAATCAGAGAGCATCACAACTCTATTTCTACCAAAACAAGTGAGGTTTCACAACTGAGAAGTCAAACCAGAAATCTTCTAGAACTGCAATGAGTACATGCTCCAACTCTGACTTGTTAGCAAATACGGGCATCTTAAGACAGAAACTTAAGCACTGGGGACACATGGAGTACATTGTGGCATGGCAGAATCCGAGTCAAAGCTGTCACCTGTGATACCAGCACTCTCTCTGGGTGCTGGCTGGGAGTCCTGGCTGTCCCACCTCCATCCAGCTCGCGGCTAACGTGCCTGGGCAGGCAGCAAAGAATGACCCAAGTGCTCGGGCCCTGCCACCCATGAGGGAGACCAGGAAGAAGCTCCTGGCTTTGGAATAGCTCAGCTTTGGCGACTGTGACCATTTAGGAAACGAGTCAGTGAGTAAAAGCTCTCTCTGTAAATCTGCCTTTCAAAAATAAAACGGAATAAAACAAAACAAAACAATACTATTTCTGGTGTGGTGCACTGAATGTAGCAGAAGGAAGTGAACAAGGTAAAGAAAAATTACAAAAAATTATCAAATTATAGATGCATACACAGGGACAGAGCGCCTGCAGAAGCACCATACATATACTTCTACCTTGGAGAAGGAAAAGCTGAGGTCACGAACCTTCCAGTCACTTCTGCACTGAAGAGGCAGAGGGCTGTACGCCAGCGTGCTGGGAAGATCTCTGGCCACTTATCACTCCAGTAAAGACTATAGACTTTTCCTGTTTTCTATAAAACACTATCTCTAAGAATGACTTTGGTTAATAACCTGCTAAATTCTTGCTCAAAAGATGAGAAGCTAGAAGATACAGTCTTATTTTCAAACATATTCAGGATGGTTTAATGAAAACATGTGCGTTTCATTAAGAACAAGCGTCAGTAACAGACGTCAGTTTTGCTAAATGGCAGTAGCTGTGAGTCTGTCACCACTGCTTGGACTGGAGGGCAGGGTGGCTGGCAGCATGGCACTGCCAGGCCCCAGGGCTACCACACCTTCACAGTTTATGTTCACAAGCTGTGCTGAAAAGTACAAATGGCCTAACTCATTTCAGATGCTTCAGTTCCTGTGGGGAAACTTTTATCAGATATGGTAAAGTATGGAGTTTTAACAGCACTGATATGGTAATCCTGAATCTTACATTTTATGAGTATAGATTTGTTTTTTATAGTCCTATTTATTTCAAAAGAAGACTTATAGGGAAGAATGTCCAAGAGAAACACCCACTGCTCAAATGACTGCAACAGCCTGGACTGAACCACGCTGAGCCAGGAGCTTTGGCCAGGCCTTCCACAGGGGTACAGGGGCCCGAGGGCTGGGGGCATCTGAGGCTGCTTTCAGAGGCAATCAGCAAGGAGCTGGATGGAAAGTGGAGCAGCTGGGACAGGAAATGGTTCCCATATGGGATGCCAGCTTCACAGGCAGCAGCTTAAACTGGCACCATGACAACACTCACTCCGACTACAGTTTCAAGGGAGCCCTAGGAAACTTACAGAAAAGAATTTCATCTCATCACTTTGTGCCTGGTAGGTTAGGGTAGCCTGTTAGAGACTGAATCCCAGCAGCCAGTGTGGTGGCATGATGGGTGAAACCTCCACCTGTGGTGCTGGCATCCCATACGGGTCCCAGTTCATGCACTGACCGCTCTACTTCAGAGCCAGTTCCTGCTGTGGCCTGCAGGACAGCGGAGGATGGTCCAGGTCCAGGTCCTGGGGTACCCATGTGGGAGACATGCAGGAAGCTCCTGCATCCTGGCTGTGGGCTGGACCAGTCCCAGCGTTACACCATTAGGGAGTGACCCAGTGGATGGAGGATCTACCTGTCTCCTCTCTGTTGATTCTCCCATTCAGTAAAAATGAAAACATCTTAAAATAAACAAAAACACCTAAAACAAATAAAACAATTGCACAATCCAATCCAGGCCCCAGCACAAAGGGTAGCAGGCCAAAGCCTGCAGTTCCCTTGGACTCTGAGGGGCCTGCACACAGCGGGTCTGGGAGGCGCTCTGCAGGAGAGGAGCGCTTCCTGCTGCCGAGGCCGGAAGCACGTGACCTTTCAGCCCTAGGCAGAGCACAGGCTTGGGACACAGGATGCTCCTTCACAAGCCACCACAGCTCTGGCTGGGATGCCGCGGTTTAAGGTATTCCTGTTTGCAAGGCACAGGAGACCCCCACACCTACTCCTTTCTAAATGTTACGCCTCCATGCACGTCTCTATGTCTCAGTACAACACACCTAATGGATACAATCCCTCTTACTGATTCAAGGTGAAAGCCACGCGCCTCCACGCAACGCACCGATGACACTGCACTGTTCTATGTGGCCGTGAGTCAGACACATGTCTCAACTCAGCAAAACAGGAGTGACAACAAAAAACTCAGCAGAAAGTAGGCTGGGCATTTATTTATTTATTTAATTTGAAAGAATTACAGAGGGAGGAGAGACAGAGAGTATGAGATCATCCACCCTCTGGTTCACTTCCCAGAGTGCAGCACAGGCTGAAGTCAAGCCAACCTGAAGCCAGGAGCCAGGAGCCTCCTCCAGGTCTCCCATACGGGTGCAGGGCCCAAGCACTTGGACCATCCTCTGCAGCCTTCCCAGGCACATTAGCAGAGAACTGGACTGGAAGTGGTGCAGCCAGGCCCCAAACTGCTGTCCATATGAGATGCCGGAGCCCAAGGGTGGAAGCTAAGTCTGCCCGCCACAGTGCAGGCCCCACACCTATTTTCTTACTTACATGTATACTGAATATAATGTCATTAAAAATGACTTAGAATCTCAAAGCTGGGCTACGGTGGCAGAATTTCCTTCATACAAAGGGAATTATGCAGCAGAAAGCCAGCTGGGATCATGGAGTAGGTCAGCCGCTTCACATACAGGGACTGGCTCAAGAGAGCCTGAAGCAGCTCCTGGCGCCCAGCTTCAGACCAGCAAGGCCTAGTCACTGTGGCCATATGGGCTGAGCCAGCAGGTGGACCATCTCGTTCACTCTAACTCTGCCTTTCAAATAAATAAATTTCTTAAGGGAGGGGGGAGGAACAAAAACAGAACACCATGTTGAACAATTCACAAAAACAGACTGATAACCTACTTGACACAGGAAAACGCGACCACAGCCTTCACGGTCTTATGGATGCTGCGGAGACCATTACCAGCAGTGTTTAAAGCATAACAAAGGCCTCGTGCAGCTCTGTATGTGAACACGGAGGTGAACTGCCGTGCCGCGCACAGGGCTCGGCCTGCTCCTCTCGGGTCCTCACATGGAACTCTGCAGAGACCAACCACTTTCCTTCCAAGGCATTTTAACTTTTGAGCAGAGATAAAATTAGCCATCTATTTTCTTAAATTCGATATCATCATCTATTCCACTCAGGATAAAATCTTTAAATTACCTAGTATTCATTTTGTGTGTTTGAAAACCTAAATAAGGGTCGAGAACCAGGCTGGTGGCGAGGTCGTCGTTCTCGCAGAGCTCCTTGGCGGACATCCCAGAAGACGGCACGTAGCGGCTCTGCCCTTCGAACCCTGAGCTCCCATGGCCTGTGAGGAAGAGAGCAAAGTAAACTCCAGCTGGAAATCAACAGACTTCTCTAACACCTTTAGCAAACAGAAATCACTTAACCTAAGAATTCAGTACGCCTGGGGAGCTGGTAAGCAAGGAACACCAGTTCCGGGAACTGAGTGTGGCCGGCTTTGGTTCAAAGCTTTCCTCTCCCCGCCAGAGGATGCCTCAGCAACACCATACGCCAAGACAGGACTGCAGTGGGAGGCTACCCAGAGCAGCACGCGGCGTCACAACTGTAAAGGGCGTGTCCCGAGGGACACAGAGAGGGCTCTTCCATCTGCTGGCTCACTCTCCCAGTGTCTGCAAAGTCTGAGCTGGGCCAGGCTGAGGCCAGGCACCAGAACCCCACCCTGGTCTCCCGCATGGACAGAAGGGTCACCTTTTTTTGTAAAATTTATTTTTACTGCAGTTAGAGATATATATAGAGAGGAGATATAGAGAAATATCTTTCGTCCAATGATTTACTCCCCAAGTGACTGCAACGGCCAGTGCTGCGGCAATCCAAAGCCAGGAGCCAAGAGCTCTTCTTCCAGGTCTCCCATATGGCATCCCGGTGCGTTCAAGGTGAGCACGTTAGCCACAAGGCTACCGCACCAGGCCCAGGAAGGGTCACCTTTTGTGGCCTTCTCAGGCACACTGGCAGCAACCCGAATCAGAAACTGAGCAGCTGGAAGTTGAGCTGGCACTGGCACACGGGATGCTGGCAGCACAGAGCTGCTGAACTTGGCTCCGATATGTCCCCACAAAAGACTCAAGGTGCACACAGTTCAGCCTCATTTTTCTGGGTGGAAGAGGGATTTTACCTGCTGTGTCAGCAGTTGAGGCTCAGAGCTTGGGAACCTTAAATCTCAGCACAGCGTGACAGTCTAGTGGCCAAGTCTTCGCCTTGCATCTGACGGGATCCCATTATGGGTGCCAGTTCTAATCCCAGCTGTTTCACTTCCCATCCAGCTCTCTGCCTGCCTGGGAAGGCAGTAGAGGATGGCCCAAAGCCTTGGGACCCTGCACCCACGTGAGCGACCAGGAAGAAGCTTCCGGCTCTGGATCAGGTCAGCTCCGGCTGTTGCAGCCATTTAGGGAGTGAAACATCAGACAGAAGATCTTTCTGGGGCCTGGCATAATGGCCTAGTGGCTAAAGTCCTCACCTTGAACGCGCCGGGATCCCATAGAGTCACCAGTTCTAATCCCGGCGGCCCCTCTTCCCGTCCAGCTCCCTGCTTGTGGCCTGGGAAAGCAGCAGAGGACGGCCCAAAGCCTTGGGACCCTGCACCCGCATGGAAGACCAGGAAGAACTCCTGGCTTCACATTGGCACAGCTCCAGCCATTGCGGTCACTTGGGGTTGAATCATCAGATGGAAGATCATCCTCTCTCTCTCCTTCTCTCTGTATATCTTTGCAATAAAAATAAAACAATCTTTAAAAAAAAAAAAAAGATCTTTCTCTCCTTCTCTCTGTAAATCTATTGAATTAAAAAAAAGAACCTCTAGGTGGCAGAGATAGAATGACATGCTTATTTCTAATTGATATCGGTTCCAATAAATAAGAACACAGACCAAAATATGGAACTGAGAATAAATGGATTTAATTGTGGAAGAAGCGCAGTGCAAAGGACAAGGACACCGCATTTCTGTGCAGTTCCAGCAACGGTGATTAAGACTGACGCACGTGGATCTCAGTGAATGTTCTTTTCAAGGAGCTGGTCCTCTCACTCACAAAGGCCAACAGCAATATGCTAAGGTTTCCACAACGAGGAGTCAGACAAGCAGTGCGCCAGAGAGGTTCTTCACAGAACACGACAGGCACACGGAGCTCGACAGCGGGCAGATGGCCACGGCGTCCACGGAGCACTGACGCCGCCTTCTGTAACTGCTTTAGTCAGATGCAATTCACCCACTGCAAGTGTGCAGTCCAGTATCTTCACACGCATCCAGTTACGCAACCATCAGCCCAGAGAGAAGACCCCTGTCCGTGAGCAGCCGTCCATGTCCCTTCCTACACAAGCCCGGAGCACCGCAACCACGTCTCAGGGCCCGACTTCACTCCTCCTGGCCTAAGCACACTCTGTGAGGACACGCCCCTTGTGTATGCACATGGGTTGCTACCACTCAGTGGGAAGAATGTCACCAGGAGCGCTTGTATCCAACACTGACTGCGTACGCCTGTACTTCCATTATAGTTACACGCTGCACAGTGGAAGTGCTGGGCGGCCAGGCAGCTTCATCCTCACACATTTCCACCACCAGGACGTGTTTTAAATTCTCACACACTGGCCAACACCTCTTTCGGATTAGAGGGTTTGGTTTTTTTTTTAAGGTATTTTTTATTAGAAAGAGCTATAGAGAAAGATCTTCAACCTGCTGATTCTCTCTCCAAGTGGCTTTAACAGCCAGGAGCCTGGAGCCACTACTGGGTCACCCACATGGGTGCAGGGTCCCAAGGCTTTGGGCCGTCCTCCACTGCTTTCCCAGGCCACAAGTAGGAAGCTGGATGGGAAGTGGGGCTGCCGGGATTAGAACTGATGCCCATATGGGATCCTGGCGATTTCAAAGCAAGGACTTTAGCCACTAGGCTACAGCACTGGGCCTGTGAAGAGGTGCTTTCACACCTCAATGACCTCTTGAGTGTACTGACTATCTGTATCTTTGAAGGAGTCTGTGGCCATTTTAAACCTGGGCTTTGAGCACAGGCATCCTGTGTGGTGGCTCAGACAGCTTCTCACTGCAGCACCCCAGCTTAGGTGGCCGAGGCTCAGGTCGGGCTCTGCTCCAGCTCCCAGCTCCTTTAGCCTGGCAGACAGCAGGAGGCAGGTTCAGGTGCTCGGTCTCTGCCTGCACACAGACCCTGATGGAGCGCTCGCTGCCTCAGCTGTGACATTCAGCAGTAAGGAGCAGACAGGCGTTTGCCTTGTGCTTTCCTCTCAAAAACTCAACACCTTTTTGTACTGTTTCTATGAAAATTTCACATGTGTATATATATTCTAGGAACTAGCCCCTCACACGATTCGGGAATGTTGTGTACTTTCTTGCACGCTGTGGGTCGAAGGTGTGCAGTTTCGATGAAGCCCTGCCTTTCTGCTGTTCCTCCTTGTGTTTTTAGTATTACACTGCCTCATACCATGTCAAGAAAATTTATGCCTGTTTTCCTGTAGAAGGTTTTGCAACGTTTTACTTTCATTTTTAGGTCATTGATCCATTTTAACTTTTACATATGATGTGATACAGGAGTTTCTTTTGTATGTGGAAAAGATTATTTGTTTTCTTTTGTTGAAAAAAGAAAGGCACCCTTTGTTGGTAAGGCTTTTTTTTCAAGGTTTTATTATTACTTGAAAGGCAGGCTTTACAGAGACGGAGAGATAAAGGTCTTCAACCCACTGGTTTGCTACCCACGGAGCTGCAACAGCCAGAGTTGGGCTGATTCCAAGCTGGGAGCGAGTAGCTTCCTCAGGGTCCCCTGATGAGTGCAGAGTCCCAAGCACTTGCGCCATCTTCTGCTGTCTTCCTAGGCCAGTAGCAGGGATCTGGGGGGGAAGTGGAATAGCTGCACAAAGTGGCCAGTTCCCATATGGAATCCTGGTGCTGCAAAGCACAGGGTTAGCCTAGTGCACCACTGCGTCGACCCCCCGAAAACACTATTTCCCACTGAATTTCCCTTGCACTCTTGCCAAAAAATCAAGTGACTGAAAATGTGGGATTTCTGGACTCATAATTGTATTCCATCAATCTACAGATTAACAAACACATGCCAGAAAATCAGGGATTTGAACAATGCATTTATGTACTAAATTATAAAGCAGCAGTTTCCCAGCTAGATGCGCTTCCCGCTGTATTGGTTTAAGCACCAGAGGCACACCTTCCCCCCACGTTTCACTGTCAGATGCCCCCAAGGGGCTGAGGCCAAAGTCAGGAACTGCAGGGCAGGCAGGAACCCCTTTCCTTGAGCCATCACAGCTGCTTTCCAGGGTGTGCAATGGTGGCAAGCTGGAGTCAGAAAACGAACCCATGTACTGTGAGGTCGTGGGCCTCCTCACCGTAGGCTAAATGTCGCCCCTCATTCTGTTCGCTTTCCGGACTGGCTGCTGGGGGTGCTTCCGGTTCCACAGACGTCAGCATCAGGCAGGCCTCTCCTGCAAAGCCATCTTGGCCTGTACAGACTGCACTGAATCTGCAGCTCACTGCACAGTTTGCTGTCCTAACAACATCGGGTATCTCCACCAACATGAGATGCCCTTGGCTCAGGAACGCATTTTGGATGGCGCCCTTTGGAAAGGCCTAGACTGCACTCCACGGAAGGGAATGGTCCGTGCGTGTCCGAGAAGAATGAGCATTCCTGGTTCCTGGGCAGAACTCTCGAGACGTGTGTCAGATTCAGCCGGCTGACAGCGGAGTTGCAGCTCTCTTTCCCAGCCCATTCTCTGCCTATTCCGAGTACAACGGCTCCGCTGAGCTGCCCACTCCCTCTCAGTGTGGCGCCCACATGGTGTGTGTCTTGGAGCTCTGCCTCAGGGGAAGCTGCAGCCTCTTACCCAGACAAGCACTGAGCTGTGTGCACCAGGTGCCCTTCGTCCCCGGCTGTCGGCGCCCGTCCTGCCCAGTGCGCACCATGACGCTGCCATCCTCACAGCATGCCTTTCTCTAATCCATTCCCCTACACCTGTCTACTCTCAGCAAAGTAATTTCTAAATCCTTAGTGATCTCCAACAATTAAAACAAATAAAAACGTTTTTTGTACTATGATATACAAAGGAAGCCAACAACAATGTGTTAAAAGGCTTAAAAGATGGGTAACTTACGGACCAGAACCAATAACACTTATCTGGTTATTATCATTTTTAAATCTTTCAATTCTCATGAAATAACGCTATAAGAGTCAAGGTGCAGGCCCACCGCAGCCACAGGGCGGCTGGCACCCACGCGGGAAGCCCTTCCACCGCAGCCACAGAGGGGCTGGCACCCACGCGGGAAGCCCTTCCACCGCAGCCACAGGGCGGCTGGCACCCACGCGGGAAGCCCTTCCACCGCAGCCACAGGGCGGCTGGCACCCACGCGGGAAGCCCTTCCACCGCAGCCACAGGGCGGCTGGCACCCACGCGGGAAGCCCTTCCACCGCAGCCACAGGGCGCTGGCACCCACGCGGGAAGCCCTTCCACCGCAGCCACAGGGCGGCTGGCACCCACGCGGGAAGCCCTTCCACCGCAGCCACAGAGGGGCTGGCACCCACGCGGGAAGCCCTTCCACCGCAGCCACAGGGCGGCTGGCACCCACGCGGGAAGCCCTTCCACCACGGCTCCCCGTCTACCTTCATCCCAAGCATGAATTCTAGCTTGGGAGGGGTGCAACTGAACGAGACAACAAATCTCAAAACTAAAATATCAGGTGAGAAAAGAAAAAAACGAATCATAGAAAAGGTAGAAATAAGAAAGTAAATAAATAAGAAAGAAATAAGAAAGACTGTAAAACCGTTTTACAGAAACAGCTGCCACAGAACTAGGTTAAGGCCATCCTGGGCCGATGAATAGCAGAAACCCCCTGGAAGATAAGAAGGAAATTAATCAGAACGGGTATAATCTATCTAAAACTCCAAAAAACAACCCCCCCGCTGATCCAAACCACTGGAACAAAGTTAATTCCAACACAAGCTGAGAAAATCCAGGGGCTGATACTGTGCCGTAGTAAGAAAAACCACTGCTTGCAGTGCCAGCATCCCCTATGGGAACCAATTTGAGTCCTGGCTGCTCCATTTCCAATACAGTTCCCTGCTAAGTGAAGGGCCTGGGAAAGCAGCGGAGGATGGTCTAAGGACTCGGGCCCTACACCCATGCGGCCGACCCAGAAGCAGCTCCTGGCTTTGGATGGGCCTAACTCCAGCCACCGAGGCCACCTGGGGAGTGTGAATCAGCAGACACAAGCTCTCTGAGGTCTTGCAAATAAATAAAATATATCTTTAAATTTTCTTTAAAGATTTATTTACTAGTTTTATTGGCAAGTCAGATATACAGAGAGGAGGAGAGACAGAGAGGAAGATCTTCTGTCCACTGGTTCATTCCCCAAGTGGCTACAACAGCCAGAGCTGAGCTGATCCGAAGCCAGGAGCCAGGAGCTTCTTCCAGGTCTCCCACGTGGGTGCAGGGTCCCAAGGCTTTGGGCCGTCCTTGGCTGCTTTCCCAGGCCACAAGCAGGGAACTGGATGGGAAGTGGGGCTGCTGGGATTAGATCCAGTGCCCATATGGGATCCTGGCGCTTTCAAGGTGAGGACTTTAGCCACTAGGCCACCGCGCCAGGCTCTTTATATATGCGTGTGTGTTTTCTAAAATCCACCAGCATCAAGATCTCTGTTAGAGCAGAGACTGAAAATGCGGTCCTCACGGCGGCACAGACTACTCAGCAGCCTCCAGAGTTCAACACCGAGGCTTGGGCATTTTGTTTTACTACTGAGAGCCACTATGAAATAAAAATATATACAAAACCAAAGCTCTGACTCTGAGAAAATCAACTTGTTCCCGCTGGGAGGCACAGAAGTCATAAAGTGACGCGGTGAGCAGTGCCTCGTTGCCAGCCGGAACACTGACCCTCTGACTGGATGGCTATGGATGTGCAGCTGCTCTAACAGTTTTATCTATAACCTCATCGACATCAGAGCTAACTTTATTATTCCTATTATTCGGCATCAGTTATAGAACTCATCAAAAACAGATTTACATCACAAGAAATACAGTTTAAACTTACAAAAAATTCAGCAACAGTACTTTAAACATAAAGAACAAAGATAAAAAAACTGATTAAAATTATCTATCTAGCTAGCTAGCTATCTAACCTTCAGCACTAGATTTGGGTTTTCCATACTGTAACACCTGTATTGTTAACTACAACAGCATAACCGTCTTGTAGGACAGAGTCCACTGTGGACAGAGGCGACCGCAGCACAGCGGGAGCCGCGCACTGGGGCGTGTACGTACATCTGCTGGCCTTGCGCTCGCCTGCGCTCCGGCCGGCCTTCAAGGCGTCCTTGCCTGCGGGCTGCGCTTTGGACGGGCTCTGCTGACGCTCAGACACTTTGCCTCCGTTCCTGCGGCCATTCAGCACCATGTTCTTGGACTCTCCCAACCACTTCATCCCCGCAGACTGCCTGCCCAAGGTGCATTGAGTCACTCTCTCCAAACAGCCTAGAGGATAACGGCAACGCTCTCTCCTAAGAAAAACAAAACAAAGACACATTTAACAGACTCCTGAGAGACCCACATCACAAAGCAAATTAGCAAAATAAATAATAAACAATAAAAGTCCCACTCTAAGGACTATTTTGTACCCCCTCCCCCCCCCACACACACTACCATGCTCAAGACTACAGTGCCCTGAGACTGATCAGAACAGAAACCAAACCAGACAGGGCTCTATCCTTGAGAGTAACTTGGACCACTCAGAGCCATAGCGGGTGCCCCCTCTGGGGCAGTCACTCCACATGGGCTCCACTTCTGATCCAGCTCCCTGCTAACGGCCTGGGAAGTAGTGGGAGACAGCGCATACCTGGGCCCCTACATCCATGTGGGAGACCCAGAAGCAGCTCCTGGCTCCAGCTCCACCCCAGTCAAGCTCTGGTTGCTGCAGTAACTGCAGGACGAAACCAGGAGATTGGATTTTTCTTCCTCTCATTCTCTGAACCTCTTTCAAATAAAATAAATAAATCTCAAAAAAAAAAAAAAAGTGAGAAATACTGAGTACTAAATGTATCTTTCAGTTACCAAAAATCTTTGCTTATATACAGATCTATAGGTCTATACTATGCTCAGATCACAGGCTGTGGTTGCTGTTTTTGGTAAAGACTTTATTTATTGAAAGGCAGAGTTACAGAGAACAATCTTCCAACCACTGGTTCTCGTCCCAGATGGCTGTGGCGGTTGGCCCGGGTCAGCAGCTGTGTCCCATTTGGTTCAAGCAGCCCAACCACCTGGGCTTTTCCAGGCACGTTAATGGGAGCTGGACTAAAAATGGAACAGTTGAGATTTATTACTTTAATTTTATTTTAAATATCCATGTGGGCCTCTGATTAGGGTGGGGAAGGTCGGGTACAAAGGAAGGTGGGTGGGACGAACGTTTAAGTCCTTTCCTCTTGGATGCACAGGGGACGGAGGGAGGGCCACTCCTTGCCGTCCGACCACATCAACACCTGGAGATGAGAGATCTGTTGATCCTAAAGACCCCAATGTGGGAAGAGTATTCCAAAGGTGTTAGGTGGTTTTGTTAGTTTTAAGATGTTGTTGTCAGTTTTGGACCTCCAGGGTTGAGAAAATCTTTCCAAGGTCTACAGGCCGACCAAGTCCACTTTAGCGCATCTACAAATGCAGAACACACTGCAAAGCTTGGCCAGGGGAAAAGTCCAATCTGTTCTGCTTTCCATCCTATGATGCGGCCGGTAATGTGCCCCGCTGGTCTAAATGAGCTGGCCATCATGTCCTCTGAACGCAAGTGGACATGCTGTCTACATGCATGAAGGAGGCCAGGTCCTACACATGCACTCCAAGGTCAGACTACATGTCATGTGATCTGCCCTGTGGTCAGGGTCTGAGCCCAACAGTCTGTTAGGGGAGCGTCCTCAGGAAACCTCACTGGGGTGACTTCAGATTTGATGCTGTATGTGCCAGCCAGTGCAGGGTCAGGCTCATTTGTCCCTGCACCAGCAACGCACACCCCAGCATGCAGCAGCCTCATCAGTCCCACTGACCAGGTATTCTGGCCCAGCCCGGAGGGCCTGCCACAGACCCAGCCCTCAGCAGTATGAGTGAGCCTCGTGGCCTAGTCAGGGTGATCCCCACTAACGTCAGACCCACCCCCAGACCTGGGTTTTGCACGTGTCAGCTCTGCCACAGCCCAGATGCCATCTTATTTTCATGTACACCTATGGCAGCGAGCGGGTGCCTCACAAGCTAAGGCACACAGGGAGGCTGCAGAGCTAACCGGACTTCAGGCTCACCGGCGTCACTTGTTCAACCTGCAGATGAAACGGGGTGGCTCCAGAGCACTCCCGGCTTCTCTCGGGAGGTGCTGCCCCCTTCCCTCCTCTCCCCACTCACCTGGTCCCTTGGCAAATAAAACTTCTCTGAGAAAAAGGAAAGAAAAGGAAAGGAAAAGGGAAAGGAAAGGAAGAGAGGGCCCGGGGGTGTGGCCTAGTGGCTAAAGTCCTCATCTTGCACACGCTGGGATCCCATATGGGCATCAGTTCTAATCCCGGCAGCCCCACTTTCCACCCAGCTCCCTGCCTGTGGCCTGGGAAAGCAGCCAAGGACGGCCCAAAGCCTTGGGACCCTGCACCTGCGTGGGAGACCCGGAAGAAGTTCCTGGCTCCTGGCTTCGGATCAGCACAGCACCGGCCATTGCAGTCACTTGCGAGTGAACCAATGGATGGAAGATCTTCCTCTGCATATCTGACTTTGCAATAAATATAAATAAGTCTTAAAAAAAAAAATCTAGAAAGCAAGAGAAACGTCCCCACATCAGCTGAGTCTGAGCACGCACGAGCAGGTGCTGTGGCAAGCCCTCGGGTGGACCGGCCAAGGGTTCACATCCTCAACTTTTCACAGACTGACGAACACAAACAACAACCCCTTCCTGTACTCGCAGGAAATACAGACTCGGACACGCCCTGACAGCCAACACAAATGCAGAGCTTCAGTTTTCACTTTCCTCAGCTCTTCTTCAAGTTAAGACTTTCACAATGACACTTACCTTTTCTTTAATTTACTTTGTGATCGAGAGGGACACAAATCTTGCAAATGGCTGCAGATAAGCAGGGTCTGGCCAAGCTGAGGTCCAACTGGAGCCTCAGAGCGGGCAGGGGCTCCACACCTCAGCCGGGAGCCGGCCCGGACCAGGAGGGTGGAGCAGTGCTCCCGTGGGAGGGAGTGTCACGGGGGGAGCTACACTTTGTACCAGCTTCTGATTTTCCATCTCCTGAGTGAAAATTCTGCTGTGGACTTAAATGCCCCAATGGTCACTGTGGCCGCCTGCGGAGCGGAACCAGCAGGTGGCAACTCCACTGCCGTCTTTCTGCCTTGGAGATGAATCCCCTTTCCTCTTTTTTTTTTTTTTTTAAAGATTTATTTTTATTATTTTTTCATTGGAAAGGCGGATATACAGAGAGGAGAGACAGAGAGGAAGATCCTCCGTCCGATGATTCACTCCCCAAGTGAGCGCAACGGGCCGATACTATGCCGATCCGAAGCCAGGAGCCTCTTCTGGATCTCCCACACAGGTGTAGGGTCCCAAAGCTTTGGGCCGTCCTCGACTGCTTTCCCAGGCCACAGGCAGGGAGCTGGAAGGGAAGCGGGGCCGCTGGGATTAGAACCAGCGCCCATATGGGATCCCGGGCGTGCAAGGCGAGGACCTTAACCACTTGCGCCACCGCGCCGGGCCCCCCCTTTCCTCTTTAAGGGGCAAAAAGCAGTCAATCTAGGGCCAGCCACCGTGTCCTAGTGAGACCGCCAAGGCCATGCAAGCGGCAGTGTTAACAGCTGCTGCCCTGTGCGTGTCTTCACCCAGCTCACCGTCACGGCGCAGGAGGTAGACTCCCCAGCCCATCCCGAGTCGGGCAAAGTTGACAATCGCCTTGCTGAAGACAGGTTCACTGTAGCTCATACACAATCCCAACGACACGTGGCCAAACCCCCCGCTGGCCTGGAAGGCGCCTCAGAGACACAGAAAGGCTGCCTACCACCAGCACACCTCATAGGTGCAGCAGATGCTCCGACTCTCTTATTAAAGCAAGACCTAATGTAAATGCAGAGAAGTTTCTGGAAAAACAGCTCTGATAACACTGACAATATTTTAGGGCTATTTATATTAATTACCAGGTCATCACTTGTTCTGTCCTTAGGAGCGCAGAAATTTTTTTAAAAAGATTTTTTATTTTTATTGGAAAGGCGGACAAATGTTCCCACTTTTTTTTCTCCTATATATATATATTTTTTTTTTTTTAAGATTTATTACTTATTTTTGTTGGAAAGTCAGACATACAGAGAGGAAGACAGAGAGGAAGATCTTCCATCCAAAGATTCACTCTGTAAGTGGCCACAATGGCCGGTGCTGCGCTGATCCGAAGCCAGGAGCCAGGAGCGTCTTCCTGGTGCAGGTCTCAAGGCTTTGGGCTGTCCTCGACTGCTTTCCCAGGCCTCAAGCAGGGAGCCGGATAGGAAGCGGGGCTGCCGGGACACAAACCAGCGCCCCTACGTCCTATTGGGAGGATTATAGCAGCTAGGTTACCGCACTGGGCCCTCGCTTATATTTTCCTCCAGAGTGGGGGTAGGGTAGAATGCCGCTCCTTGCTGTTAAGCTGCATCAGCACCAGAATGGGGGACAGTTCTTTGATGATGCTGCAGAGACCCCAATGTGGGGAACAGAGTTCCAAGCATGTTACTTGAGTGCTTTTGACAGAATCTGAGACATCGTCAACTCTGTTGCTCAAGGTCAACAGGCTGACCAAGTCCACCTCAGCGCGTCTGCAGCCCCGGAACAGGCTGTGAAGCTGGGCCAGAACTGTCCAACCTGTTCTGCTTCCCAGCCTCTGATAAGACATGGACGCCCACTGCTGGCCTAGACGGTTAGGGCCAGGCTGTCATGTCGCCACGCGCAGCTGGGCATGCTGTCCACTGCGCAGGCGTCGGCACGTATCTGGAGGCCAGCCCAGACACACGCAGTCCTCGGTGAACTCCCGTGGCCAGGGCTTGCACCCAGTGACCCCCCGGGGTGACGTCAGATTTGATTCTGTGGGTACCAGCCAATGCATACTGGTGGATGCACCTGCTTGGTCAGTCCTACCCTGAGCCCCATCTTTCAGGCAAACCAAAGGGTGACCTAGCTCAGCCAAGCTCATCACAGACCTGGTTTCCATGCACACCAGAGGGTGGCACAGCCTAGTCGCGGTGGTGATGAGGCAGCCACCAGCTGCCAGTCAGTACTGTAAGGGAGAGTGGGGAACAGAACCTGAAGGCGCAGGGCGCACTGCAAAACCTGGAGGCCATGTGGCTCCAGGAGGAAGGGAGCAGTGTCCCTGCATAGACACAGATGAGCCACAGGGAAATGCTCCCACGAGCCTGGCTTAGTGGACAAAATCCAAGCCAAATAATTAGCCACTGACTATAATTAGAAGCAAAAACCACCTCAATTTTACCTAAAAATTGGCAGAAAAAAATTTGAAAT